GACCGCGTGTGACTTGGAGACCGAGTCCCGCGGGGAGCCGTGGCGCCCTCCTTTCTCAATGGGCCACTTGCTCTGCCGGTCACCTGTCACATGGACACCTGGGTGGCTCTGTGGAGAGGTCCATGTGGCGAGGACCTGGGCGTCCCTGCAGAGCCGTGTGAGCCAGCCAAGAAGGGGCCCCCGGAGGTGGCAGCTGGGCCCAGCTGCCACCTCGACTGTGACCTGGGGCAGCTGCGGAGCTGGCTGCTCCTGGCCCAGCCACCCCCAGACCCTCAGGAAGTGCTGASGTTTGGGGTGACGTGGGACACACCACTGGGTAACCAACAGAGTCACTCGATGTAGGTTCTGTTCCCGGGGAGGGCAGCCTCATCCGTAYGACCACCGGTGTTTACTGAGCACCTACTGYGCGCCAGGAGCACTGAGGGACACACGAGAGGGAAGAGAAGAGACTAAACTCCTGTCTTGTGGGGTTCACGGGCYGGTGAGGAAGAGGAACGATGAACCAGAAAGAAATACGGATGTCACCTCGAGGGGTGTGTGACACAAATGCCGTGAAGAACAAAGCCAGGCATCTCTGGGGGCTCRGTGGCCCCTCGGGGTGACACTGGAGCAGAGGCCTGAACGGAGTGATGCAGGAATCTGGGGGAAGAGCCTTCCAGGCAGAGGGACGGCCAGTGCAAAGGCCCTGAGGCAGGAGTTGGTTTATTCAAACCAGAGCCAGGAGGCCCCTGTGGGCGCAGTGGTGYGGATGGGAGGGAGGAGGACGGGATGGGGTGGCAGGCCTTTAGCATCTGAACTGGAGGTGATCAGGAAACGAGGCCTCACCTCTGGAACCTCAGCTTCCTCTTCTGAGGAATGGGAACACGGGCACCTGGTTCTGAGGCTGTTGCGGGGACTCAGGGAGCTTCTGCCTGTGGTCAGCAGCACAGGTCAAGCCCTTTGGAGACCCTGCTGCTGGGCAGCTTTTGCRGGAAGGGATGCCCTCTCTGTGCTCAACACCTTTTACTGGAATGCGCTGAAGCTGCCCAGACGCCCCCTGGGTTCCCTGGTGCTGGGTCCCTCTTCCTCTTCCTCCTCCTTCCTCACTCCCCTCCCCTCCTCTCCCCCTCCCCTGGCTCAGTCCTGAATCAACTTTCCAGTCGGGGGAGAAAACAGGGCARGCTTCCTTCCTCTCCTGGGCGGGCTCCAGAGAGGGACCGGGCCATTGTGTGTGCTGGCCTCAAGGTCGTTCCTGTCCCCTTCCCACCAGGCACCTGGGGACAGGCCTCGGGGAAGCAGGGGATGGCCTTGGTGGGGCTGAGGGGCCCAGGCCACAGGGCTGGCCTCTGGCCTCGTGGCTTCCCCCGGCCAGGAGGGCCCTGGCACCAGACCCTGGGGGGTGGCCGCCGTCCGTCCTGGCCTGGCTCCCGCCTGACGGAGCCAAACCCTGGCTGGTCCCAGGTCCCTTCTCTCCTTGGAACCTCATTTTTCCTCTTTCCCCCGACTCAGTCCTGACATTAAGCTCCTTTCAACTCCCAGGAGCCGAAAATCACCAGAGACCCGAGTGGTGGCCCAGCCTGCCATCCCAGCCACTCTGGAGGCTGAGGCAGGAGGATCCCAAGTTCAAAGCCAGCCTCAGCGACTTAGAGAGCCCCTGTCTCAAAAAATACAGAGGGCTGGAAGGTGGCTCAGTGGTCACATGCCCCTGGGTTCGAAAAAAAAAAAAAAAGAACAAAACCAGTCGCTCGGGTCGGCCTCGGACCTGGCATCCTCTGCCTCGGCCTCCCTGGGCTGGGTGCACACAGCAGGTCTTCTGGGGACACAGCTTCTGCTGCGATTCCCTCTCCTGAACCTGTGGGGGCTCCCAGGGACACCAGAAGCCGGGACGTGTCACTTCTTATCACTTGCCAATTCCGMTGTCCCATGGCAAAGGGCCCAACTCCCACAGCTTAGGGCCTCACTAAGCGGCCGAGTCTGGCCTCGAACTCGCGATCCTCCTGCCTCAGCCTTCCGAGYCGCTGGGGTTATGGGTGTGCGCCCCTGCGCCCAGTTATTTTGTGGTGCTTGCTGCTCTTTCCTGGACTGTAAGGAAGGGTTGGATTGCGTGGGAGGATTCAGGAGAAGGAGCCCAGAGATACCCGAGGGATGGGAGACTGCGTCCTGGGGACATCTGAGTCTCTGCCCCTGAGGATAGGGAATCTACTTGACCTAGAAACAGAAGCAGCCCCCCCCCCCCGCCCCTCCTGCTGGCCTCCTTCTGCAGGGATCACGCACAACCCCCTGGGAGCGCCCGGTTCCTGCTGAAGCTTTGGCTCCCACCCTTGGGGTGTAAGCGAGAAAGGTCATTTTGTCCATCTGGGGAGGCAGGAGTTCTAAGGCCGGCAGGACAGAGCTTGCCAACGGCCCACCTGGGGCTCACCTGGGGCTCACCTGGGGCTCACCTGGGGCTCACCTGGGGCCCACCTGGGGCCCACCTGGGGCCCACCTGGGGCTTGTCGGCTCTGCCATCCTTAAAACCAGAACCCTGAGGTTCCTCGGGCAGCAACAGGACTGTCCTTCCCAGGCCCCCTTGCAGTAGGGGCATCGTGTGACTCAGAGCTGACCAATGAGACATAGGTCACAGTTGGTCCGTGGGACTTTGGAGAAAGTGCCTTAGAAGGGCTTCAGAGAACTGAATGCGGACGAAGGGCCACAGGGCGGATTCTCTAGCCCTTACCTGGAAGGTCTTCACCTCCCACTGTCCCAGCTCAGTGGCCATCCCCAGAACAACCCCTCCCTCTCTGCCCCGTGCCTTCCTGTGCTCCGTGGTCACTGCTTCTGACCCAGAGCTCCTCCAGCGGGGCCAGGCACGTGGCTCAGACCCTGCTCCAAGAGGTTGGCGCCGCCGCACACCTCTGGCCCCGCCCCCGAGCTCCGACCACGCCCCGGGCGCCCCGCCCCCGAGCTCCGACCACGCCCCCGGGCGCCCGGCCCCGCCCCCGCTGCAGTCCCCTCTCATTGGAGGGCCACGTGAGGGCACCCAGGACAATGGCTCACACAAAGGAGCCTCTTCCAGGACACGGGAGGGGA